TCCAACAAAAAACGCAGCCTGCAGCATTTTAGGGGTCACCAAACGTTTCTCTTCCTTTCTTCCTTTTGGGTACATTTCGTCTCATCTTTCTGTTCTCCACTTTGTTACAAAAAAAAAAAAAAGCAAAAACAGTTCTCTACCCAAAGCAGTTATACTGGAGCCTACCTGGTGTGGTCAGTGGTTGAATGTTGACTCATGGACCAAGAGGTCACGGTTTGATTCCCTGTCAGGGCACATGCCCGGGTTGCAGGAGGCAGATGATCGATATATCTCTCTCATGATGTTTTTATCTATCCCTCTCCCTTCCTTTCTCTCTAAAATCAATAAAAACGTGTTTTTTTTTTTTTAAAAAAGCAGTTATCAATCGGGGGGAAAAGGAGACATATATAATACTTTAAACAATAAAAAGAAAGCAGTTATACTTGAGAACACTATGGGGTTTGCATATGATTTTTTTTCTAATTTCCCATCCACCAGACCCTGAAATCTGAACAAGTATTTCAATGAAAACTTTTCTCCCATTTGCATGAAGTCTGAGCCACTCTAGGAGGCGGGAGTGGCAGTTAAAACTCACTGGTACTGCCAGTTCCTCAATGTGTCCTGATTCTTGTTACTTTTTTAAATGATAAAGACAAACGCTTCGGCTGGGCATTCACACCGTTCAGGAATATGTTGAAAAAATAATTTATCATAGCCCTTGAGATTTTCAAGTAAATGCTCCCAAACCAATTATAAAGCTACTAATTAGCAGCTGAAATAATTAGCCATTTGAATCACATTGGAAATGTCTGCTGAACTGGTTTATGAAAGCTTCCTCTTATGTAAGGATCAGAATATTTGCACAAACTAGCTATTTTCACGGAAGAATTCTTTGGAACAAAATTTACCCTAAAACCAATTTTCTCGACTCCTTTCTTTCCCCCACATTGTTCAATCACATTTTTATGTGTGGAAGTATACGAAGCAGGTTGTTTATGTGGCTCTGTACCCTTTTAGAAACCCAACATTTTGGTGAGCTGGAAAACTTTCCATAAAATACTTACAGAGATTACTTCCCAGTTGCTGCATAATATATACTATGAGAAGGTATGTTTTGACTCAAAGGATGAACTGAAATGATAACAGTGTGACAATATATTCATTAGAGAGTTAGCATAATTTAAAAGGAAAAGCATATTATATACTTTATTAATTGCCCTGTTTTTGTTACGTGGGCTTAATTGGACATTTTCCTCTTTCTCCTTTTGGGTTTCTAGCTGAGAGGGCGTCTTTTATGGTTCAGCTGTGTTTGAAAATGCTAATGCCGTTTAACATAAATATAAATAATACAGAAGCAGTCTATACGGATCCACAGAAACAGGTCCCGGCGTCAGACCACGGAGGTCGTGCTCTCGGGGTTCACGCGGATCAGCCTGGACGCGTTCCTCAGGTCCTGGAGCTGCTTGGCCGGCTTCCCCACGCCCTCCTCGAACCTTTTCTCCACCACGGGGAGGACGGTTTCGTAGAGGAAGGACGCGTTCTGCCGGATGAAGGCCTTCTTCTCTGGGTCCTGCTCGCAGCGGAGACTGTAGTCCACGTGCTGGACGGCCACGAGGATGACCTCCACCAGGCTCTCCAGAAGCACCATGTGCAGCTCCGGGAAATACAGCTTCAGGGCCTCCTCTAGGAAGCCCATGGTCTGCTTGGTGAAGGCGACCACCGTGTAGCTCAGGTTCACCCAGCAGTCGTCGCCGGTGTACTGCTCAAAGTCGCTCACGCCGCAGCCCTTCATCTCCTCCTTGAGCTTGCCCAGCGCCTCGGGCGTCATCAGGTTCATCCTCCTCCACATCTCCTCCGAGTTGCGGTGCTTGGTGGCCTCGATGATGATGTCCTTGTAGCTGTGCAAGGCGCCCTGGATGTCCTTCACCAGCAGGGCGTGGACCACGAAGGTGAGGTCCAGCCCGATGTCCCCCAGCTGCCGGCAGTGCTCCTTGGCCACCTGCACGCACTCGGCGGCCGTGGACAGGCTCTCCTTGCTGTCGAACACCTGCTTGCTGAAGGCGTCCACGAACATGCCCATGGCCGACCGCGCCCAGACCACGAAGGCCGAGTAGCAGCCGCTGTCCGTGCCGGCGAAGTCCGTCTCGAACTCGCGCGCCGTCTCCAGCAGGCTGGTGAAGAAGACGTGGCACAGCTTGTGGATGTAGAGCAGCGTGGCCCCCTCGATGCGCAGCTGGCGGATGGCCGTGTGCACCGCGGCCGCCCGGTTCCGCAGGAGCAGCTGGCAGGCCTTGGTGCCCTGGCCCAGGCGGATG